AAAAAACATTCAAGCAAAGGGGGTAGTCCAGCAAGCAGCTTTCTGACATTATTTAGGGGGGGCCCCTAGAATAATGTCTAGAGATTTCAGGCTTAAAAACATATTTTGCTTTAAGTAAACTTGTATTCATTCCCTTTCTTTTCCTTTTGGTTTGCTTTACTTACCCAAGCTCTTTAGTCTTTAAGCTGTCCAAAAGTTTCATTTTGCAGGTCTTTTGGATTCAGATTTCCATTGAAATTTAAAGAGTTAGTTCCATTTCCATTTCTATTTCCATTGATTCCCTTTTATTGTAATATTCCAGATGTCTTCAATCTGAGGTTTCATTGATCCCTTTTCATTTAATATTCCAGATGTCTTCAAAGTTAGGTGTCTTGATTCCTTTCATTTTAGTCCAGAGGTAGCTAAGTAAGGATCCCGTATTTATATATATCAATTGATTGGTTTTCTTGTATACTATTTTGGAGGCCTTGGTTGTTGAGGGGGGGGGGAGTTTATAAATCAAGAGACTACATTATCTGTTGAACCTCAAGATACACCACCATCCAGGACACCATCAACCACTGGTCACTGTCCACCTTTCACATCCTTTCACCTCCACATGTTCGCCACGCCGCTCCACCGTCGCTCGACGGCGCTCTGCCGCCGAGGTGCGGCGACGTTGGCGATGGAGGGCGCGGCCGGTGCGGCCGCTGCGGCGGCGATCAGCGCGGCGATCGCAACGAACGAAAACCTCCGCTGCACGGGGCACCCAGGCGGTCACTTCGTGTGTTGCCGAGCGGTGGAGGAATAGCTCCAATTCGGGAATCTATCTGCTGATGGAGGCCAACGGAGGCCGTAACTTGCCACCAACAAAGTCCCAAAGCCATCAAAAATAGCCATTGTTAGAGCATGCTATAGTAATTATGCTACAGTTGATTCTTTCGAAGATATCATCGACTGAACCTGCCAAGGTCCCTGCTGCCGAGGCGCTGCATTGTTTCTACGGTTTCTGGACACCGGAGGTGTTCCAAACTTCGTTCAAACTGAGCGAAGGGCTAAGTAGCTCACAGCAGAGCTGTTCAGAGCCAAAAACAATTTTGTACGGCGAGCAGTTTGTGATCCGAATGGCTGCTAACACAAAAGTTCATCATCCCTATCTGGTCAGGCAAACCCTGCAAATCCCTCATGGAAGTGCTTCCTGACCCAACTTGGCAATCCAATGAATCTACTACAGTCGCTATATACAAGTCCAGTCCGCCACACCACCATCCTCATCGCTTCAAAAGAAAGCCACATCATCAGCCCGGGCTGCGGCTATGGAAACGGCACACCTAGAACTGTCCGAGCTCTCCAAGCTAGAGTTTCTTCTCAATTGTTGTTTGGTGGGGACCAGTTTCTTCTTATCATATAATCTTCTTAAATCGCTCACCAAGAGCGGCCAGTTTCTTTGCTTCGACCACCTGGTCTTTTTCGTTTCCAGTTCCTCTCTCCTTCCCCTTCGACTTCGGCCATCACGGCCAGACCGACGTTCCCCGGCGCACCGGGCTGGGTGGCATGGATCGCATGGAGTCTTCTTCCAGGATGCGGCTGTTCTGGCGGCGTTCGGAAGATCGGATGGCCTCCGATCGAGAAGATCTGCTGTGTGTCAATAGAAACAATTGATGTTGGGTCTCTGAAGAGACATGAAAGTATGTCGGAAGAGACATGAAGAAGATGGGCGGGTCTTCAGGTATGAAATTCATTTGAAATTCCTGAAATTCGGTCATGCCGAAAAAGACAAGCCCGGTTGGTTGATAGCGCCAAAACTCGCGGCCATACGATACCACGTGGGATCCGTCAACGGAGCCGTTGGACTCTTGGGACCCTTGTTGGATAGATGAAGACGAAGACGAAGACGAACCTGGGTCGTTTGCATCAGAACATTCAGACGACCCCGACACTCGGGTGGCATCCCAGTGTGAAAAACATGCAGTTCTTTGCCGAACGAAGCACGACATGCAGAGTTGTGTGTAAGCACACAGCCCTTTGAAGGTGTTCGGACCGCGCGTTCAGATGACTTTTGTGGATCGAGGACGGCGCGTCCATTCTGGTGGAGTCCAGCTTGACGAACCTCAGCTCGGGCCTCGTGTTCACACCCATGGGCCCCAGGACTGGACCTGGGCGTCGTCCTGCGCTCCTTCCACCACCGACCCCTGGGCGCCCCTCGCATGTTTGGTCGACACCGTACAGACCTGGCGCTGGCATAGGTGCTGGAAATTCCGAGAGGTCCCTGCTGCGGCCCCGGCGTCCCTTTGTCCCGGTTCAACCTCCAACGGAGTTCCAATGGCTTGGGAAAGCACCCAAACCCTTTGGTGGGATCTCAGGGAGTGCAGATGATTGCAGTGCAAAGAAAAACATTCAAAGGAAAAACATGTTGAGCAATAAAATCTCTCATTGTGTTCTTGATTCTTGGAGACATGACACATATATTATATGACAAAGGATTGCTGGCTGCCACAAGCATTTTTCCCGTTGGATCCTGTCCTCGTGTTTGTCGCGAAAATTCCGTGCTTGATGTTCAATCTATGAGGAGAACCCACCTTTGAGAGGATCCTCTCCAGCTAAGGTAGCATCTGCAGCGTTGGGCAAATCTTGGAAGATCTTGGAAGCACTTGGCCGCTGTTTTTGCTCAGTGGGGCCGAGAGCCAATATAATGCTGGGGCATGATGTGTTTTTTGTACCTTGCACTGGACCATCAAACTTGAGGAAAGCGGGAATCTGGTAAGTTTAAGACACTTGAACGCACAGAACCTCTAAAGCTAAAACAGCGAAAGACCACTTTGATTATGTGTGCTGCGGCTTGAGCCACACCAACCAGTCGCCCCCCAGACAAGTTGCCGTGGTCTGGAACCTTGAGGATCTCTCAAGTTGGATCTTCTATGGCGGCGGCCCTTGAGCTGGATTCAGTCTTCTGAAAGCCGCCCAAATTCGGACGTAGCTCTGATGCAGTCCTGGAATGCAGTCCTATGGCCCTCAAAGACACCCGAAAAACACCCGAAAAAAGAAGCACCACGTGCACCGACCGACATGCTTCCGAAGCCATCCGACATCCGTGTTCGCCTTGGACAAGTGGCTCATCGGCTCCTCGATCTTCCACTGCGCCTCACGCGGTTTCGCCGAAACCGGTCGAAAACCGCCGGTGACGGAGGATGGCGATGATCGCAGGGTGGGGGGATCACAAGACCTGCGCGCATTTCTCAAGGCAAAGCTGTTCGGGGGGCAACTTTGATGTGATGGACTTGGTGGTTGAACTCTCACTCTCCACACTTTGTTGTGTCAAAAGGATTCAAAAGGCATGTCCCACCTCGCCACCTCACCACCTTCACCAGGCTTGTTGATCCTTGTTGAGCCTTCCCTCCTCCTGTCTCCTCCGTCTCCGCCCTCACCCGGCACGCCTCGTCGATCTCCAAGACCAGCAGCGTGGTGTCATCGGGGTCGATGCCTCCCAGCGTGGCGACCGGCACGGGCGACCGGCGTTCTTCAGAGGCGACCGGTAGGCGCCGCTTAAGGGCTCTCCGCAAACAAAGAGCAAGGGTTGCACCTGGGTTGCCCCCCGTACCCAGGCCTCATCTGCATCGATACTAATACTGACACATCTGACACCCACTCCCCAAACAAATGCTTGCCAGCGAACCCTTGGCACATGCCGTGCGCGAGTCGCACAGGCGACCAGGTGAAATACCGTCCATCCATTTGATGGTCCAACGACCATCACCGGGGTCAGGGTGAATCGAGCAATTGCCCAAGAAGATCCAAGAAGGGTTTTCTTGTGGCTTTTAAAGCAAGCTCCACCTCCAGAATCTTGCAGATCCTTATTCCACAGAGTGGTCCTTTTCGGATGTGGATCGTTTTCATGTTACATGTTGCTTTCCCTGCACCATGCATGTTGTATATAGACTATAATATTCTTCATACTCTAAATCTTTGATCTTGAAGCCAATCAACTCCAAGCTAGCGCTCCATCCCAACACGTCTCGCATGTTGGATCATTTTGGCCTTTCGCCGTGTCCCCCCAGTGCGAAAGAACACCACTCCTCGCCACCGCAGCTTTTCCCGCGCGGCGGCGTGTCAGACGAGGGGCTGTTCTCGAAGCGGCAGAAGTTCGTGCGTCCGAAGTAGCCCGGTTTCTCAAAGCCACACTTCGCCTGTTCCGCTGCCGGCGCCGTGAGCGGGTTTTTAGAGCGCGTCGTTGTGCGGGTTTTCCCCCGGCAGAAAATGGAGCCGGAGTCGTTTGAACGGGGAACGGAGCTGGCTGGTGAAGGAGGCTAAACGGCTAAAGTGACTGAAGTGACTAAAAGGTAGTTGTGATCATTTCAGGACAAGTGTGGCTTTCCTGGGACATCCTGGGAGGGTGTTTTCCTTCTTGCAAAGATCACGGCTTCCCCCTAGAATCTAGAACAGGTTGGACTATTGCATGTTGGGGATCTGATGTTCAGTTCCGAATACAACACCAATCACCACCATTAATCTGCACAAGTGACACATGACAGTTCCATCCATCCATTTTGTCTCAACATCGAAAAGCGCCTGGGTTGTTGTAGATTGTAGGCAAGTGGCGATTACAGGCTTAGGCTTCAAACCCAGCCGTCTGCAGGGATAGTTGCTAAATGTGACTTATCTATCCGAGTCCCACTTCCCATCCCGCATGGCTCAGCATGTGCCTCGCGCTTGTGCTTTCCCACCGAAAGCCAGCACTTGATCATGCTGCCGGCTGGGCCTCGTTCTGAGGCGATGGCGAAGCTACTTGACTGAGTGGTCTGCATGACCTGTTGATCCACCTCGAGAACCCACCAAAACACCGAACGCGTCGGGAGACTGGTTCACGCGTTGGTTTGGATACTGAGAGTTCCTCTACGATTGAGTCCATGCTAGTCAACAGGTGAAGTAGTTAAATGTTTTAACCGCCCCTGAGCCTCGAAGATAGTTATTTCAGTCACATCCAATGAATCTCTACTCGCTGGCCACAAAGGAGTTGCCATGTCCTATGACGTTCTATGCATGTAATATTACATAATTGATCATCCTCGCTGGTGGCAACCCACCAGCAGTACTGAAAAGCATCAATCGTGGATAATGATAACGAGTTGAAAGGAACACCTAGCAAGCAATCCTGACTGAGATCTGCCACTAGGACCTAGGACCCAAATCCGGTAAAAGCCATAGCTAGCTCCAGAATGAGTTGCGGAAAAGTCATTGGTTAGTCCTAGTCCTTCTTCATTCCAAATCGAGCCATGCTTTGGAGACTCCGGGTTGGACCACTTCAGCCTTTTCGAGACCCCCCGTGTTCGCTCGAATCACTTTGAGCACCCCAGCAATGGAGGAAGAAAGAGCAGAAGCCTCACAGCAGAGACATCTTGGACCGGTGGTGCTTGGAGATGGGGTGGCGGATCTTTTGGAGCTCTGCAGAAGAAAGAAGTAACAAACGCCCCGCGACCCTCACAAACTGTCTTGGTCGGGCAGTTCCTCACTTGAGCTTCACTAACCCATGCTTCTGTGAAGGAGGGGCAGTGTGTTCGCCATGAGTGCATCTCCATCTTCTTCAAACGACAGGTCTTGTTTTGATGTTGGTGGGGGGTTGAGCCTGTTTCACCACATTCTTATATCTCCTTGGGGCACTGGTTTTCTTTCATGTGTCTGCAGCCCCACCTGGTGTGTAAGCAAGACAGGAGGGTTGGCAGGAGCCTAGCTTATTCCTCTGATACTGGGCTCTCTAGGAAACGGCGTTGTGTCAACTCCATGAATCAAATCGACCAATCACCCAGTGCTTGGGGCATCCCTTCAATCCCCCTTTTACAGAAAGCCATCGATCTTTGGAAACAACTAGAAACATATATAAACATAACTAAGTCTATATATCTGTCTATAAATCAATTAAACAAATTGTTGGTCTGGAACACTTTCTTGAACTTCCAAACACGAAACACAAAAAAACAAAGAAACGACGCTGACTAACTCACGTTGGTCGTCACGAGAGAGAAAAAGAAACAACACCGGAGACCTTCGCCCTTCGACCTGCTTCGCCCCGGCGATTCGAATCGGTCGGGCCTTCTTTGGCGCCCAAGTAGCCCGAGGGATAAAAGACCTGGACGACGAAAAGACCCCAGGTCTCCCCGTCGCGGGTCGGTTGCGGAAAGGGTCCGGGCGAAAGAGATACCGCGAGAAGGAAGGGCGTAAGATGAGAATATGTCATGTTATATCATCTACTGACTACCTAGGGGGGGCGTCACCTAATTGTGATTTGCTGGATAGGGGGGGTAGGGATGTTGTATCCTGTTAAATAGCATGTGAATGGCCTTCAGATTTGGCCTTCTAGCGTTCATCTAGCTGGTCTAAAGCTGACGATTGCAAACAACATCTGCAACAATGGCAGGTTGCTCCATCCTGCAGGCCCCTCAGTAGGGCTCCCAACCAGTTGGAGATCATCAACCTCAGGCCATGGGAAGAGGTGGCGAACTGGGACCAGGAGCTGCGAAGACGCAAGATCTTCGCAAACATCGTCAACCAATCCAGGACAGGTGTGGCGACCCCACGCGAAAGCAAAAACGATGAAAAGCGGCTTCTGTTACCCAGTAGTCAAGCGTTCCACGGGAGAAGTGGAAAGAAAGCACTGCCATGGTCGGGGAAACATGCCAGGGCCGTCCTTGATGCACTAGACAGTCTCGACTCGAGCTTGCCGTGCAACGCTCCACCCCGGAACACTTCTAGATTCTAGTCCAAAGAACCCTCAAAAGTTATCCTGTTGGCCTGGGGTTGAGAAAGTAAGTCAACCCCATTGAAAGCTGAAAGGCCCTCCCCTTCGTGGCACATGTTCTAGGAACTATTCCAACAACCACCTTCCCATCCTTCCTGTCCAAACTCCAGAGCCTGTCGAAAACCCGGATGCAGGCTCCCGGGCCCCTGCAGCTTCAAAGGTGGTGCTGCAAAGGCATTCGTTCTCTGGGAAACACCTTGGGCGGTAAGGGGGGCGGGTCGGCCAATCGGGTTCTCCCCAGGACTTCGGGGCTTCTTCGTTGGGTTCGTGGGTCAGCGAAGCTTCCCCTGGTTTTGAAGAACCAAACGGCGTTGCCAAAAAAACCTGCCAGCTGCCAAATGTGCGACACTCAAAAGCGCCGCAGGGTGGCACAAACATGAACAGACCATGTCTACCAAGTACAGCAGGTATTCATGAAAGTTCGTGTTGGCTGTGAGATGTACTTGGCCCACGGCGGATAGACGGCCGTGGGCTTTTCTTACATGTTTTTTGATATTTTTTTATACAGTACTACGTGTCAGAATTTTGGGGTGGGGTGGGGGGGTGGGGGTGGGGCTTATTAGCACACCTGTGGCGTAGCATGTTATCTACTTTAGTTTATTTTCTTGCGGGTTACATTCGGTTAGACACTGCATCCGTTTTGGGTTTTTTTGGACTTGGACGAGGTACAAGCGAAACTCTGATTTTATCGAAATCTGCATGGAATTCACAATGATTCCAATGATGAAGTGTCGCTCACATCATTCCTAATGGAATTATGCATATTTAAGATTGATTACCCCACGACCACCCTTCATTACCCCACGGCCGTCTATCCGCCGTGGACCTAGTTAGGTTGCAAACAACCGTTGTCTATCAACAGTTGATTTGTTGTGCTTTGCCTTTCAGGATGTACAAGGCCACCTTAATCTCCAAGTAAAGGAAGTTGGAATGGGTTCCGCCGTTGCACCAATGAGCGGATCCTAAAAGTCAGAAAGAATCTCTACACAGAGAAACCTGCTTTAATCAACCAGAGGATGTTGCTCAAGCAATTGCAGCCACATCACAGTCATCACACACCCTCTTCTTCCCCGGGTTCCGCCGTTGCGCCCGGGGTCCGCCCCCCCCCGGGGCTCCGGCTTCCGGAGCTGCGACGCCTTCTCCAAGCGCCACTCCTCGGTGGCCGGAGCGACGGCCCGGCGGAGGCGGAGTGCCCGAACGGGTCGGACGCGGAGCCGAGCGGCGATGCGTCGGACCATGCCGGAGCGGATGAGATCCACCTGGCCGCGGAAGAAGTGGAAGTGGGGACAACAACACTCCCCAGGCCCAAAGCCCTGCAGCCATCCTTCAGGCAAAAAGAATATTGGAATATATTGGAATATAAATTGGCCCGCTTTAAAAGAATGGCTGTTGACATAGTGAATAAGAGTGGAAGACATGCGTGGGCAGACCTCTCTGTTGTTCATTGCTTTGCAGGGACCCCCTGGGTAGATCGGAGTAGGTTGGGACGTCCCTTACACTGTCGAGGACACAACTGCCTATAAAATGATGGTGCCCAAACAACCTGTTGGTTGTCTAGGGGTAGCACCGGGAGTTCTGTATGGTCTAGGGGCAGCAGATGAACATCATGTTGCTTGGACATCTCTTCATGCCATGCTCTTTTTTGCCTGCTGCCGGCGCTGCAGCGCGCAGTTGTTACTTGCTGTGCGCGCAAGAAAGCCACGGAGCCTGATCCTGCATGATGTCCAAGAGCCGGTGGTTCAAGTAACGATGGTACCTCAATGGACACAAACTATGTCCATGGAAGGCCACGCACATACAACCCAATGGGTCGTTCAGTGTGCCAAAGAACCCGGTGCTTGCCGGAAGCAAGAGAATTGTAGATCAACCAACACCATGCTTCTTTTGGTAGTGCCCTCATACAGTATAACTGTATACTCCTTTGGCCCTTGGAACCACAGACCTGTCACGGACTAGTATTTCATCTATTGGCGGGTCAGAATACCCCACGAACCATATGAGAGCTCTCAGGTGTTCAGACGGAAGCCGGCCTCCTCCGGCTTCGACCCAGCTTGGCCCCATTCCAAACGGTTCGGACCGACGATGCACCATGCAACCAAAGGCAAAACCCTATGGGGTCGCCATGGGAGGGGTCGCAGTTCCGGCAGATCGTGCCTCACGTCGCTCTCTGGAATTGGCAGATCTGGAATGCGCAGATTGGGCGCGTGCCCACCTGGTTATATCATATCCCTGGCTCTATCTGCTGAGAGTTCTTTTGTGGAGTTGGGCCCCCTTCCTTTGTATACATGCTTCCGGGTAGCCCACTGAGCGAATTATCTTAATCTTAAATTAATGAATTACAATTTACAATCTCATGTCCGTGGTATGCGTTCGATCTTCTTCCACTGAACTTCCTTCTGAATCAGAAAGAAAACCTTCACAACTCATAACTCATAACGCCTGTTTTGATGTGCTCACTTCAGGGTCCAACGTTCCAGAACCGTGTGACGCCGCGAACGCACGGTGTAGTCGGAAGAAATGCACCACAGTGCTGCTCTTACTCGAGAAAGCGCTATGGAGAAAACAATGGCCTGTCAGCTGGATGGACGTCAGCAAAAAAAGACTTGCCAGCATCACATGCCTCTGAGACTCTAAGCTGAAAAATGCGCTCGCAGCCCACATGCGGTCTTTTAGCACCTCGTGCTACAAAACACATCAATGCTCCTCCCCCAGGCATCGTCGTCCGGTCTTCCATTCCATCACTGGGATCGTCCCGGTGGTTTTGTCCGGTCAAGCCGACCTTGTTCCTCTTTTCTCTGAGGCAGACGTAGGGCTATTTGCATCTGCAAGGTTTTGCCTTGACGCGAAACACGGTGCACATTTGGGCTAGAAGATGCTAGAAGAGTTGGAGGAAGCTTTTGAGGCACAAGAGCTCTGGTGCACAAATGCGCAGCTGTGCATCGGGGGTCTCCTTCAACTCTTTTAGCAAAATGTCCTCGAGGAAAGCTTCAAAGGAACCTGAAGCCATTCGGCTTGTGGAACCACGAAACATTTCGGCCTTAGAGAACTCTGGAACACGCTCTGTTTCACGCTCTGCTGTGTCTGATTGCTGCTGACCTTTGATCCAGATTCTCGTCAAAGATCACTAAAGCCACCTGGTGGTTGGTTTCCTCCTTGATGGGCCTCCATCTGCAGCGATCAGATGCCTGCTCGGAGTGACCATCGCGCTTTGCGACACCCTTCCCACAGCGGCACCAGTAGCTTCCTTGCTCCGTTCGTAGTAAGGCCAGGGTCGCCCTGTTCGTAGCGTCCGAACGCTTCCGTTCGTAGCGATGCCCGAAATGCTCCGTTCGTCGCGTCCTTGCACGGCCATGCCTGTGTAGCCTACAGGCCTTCCGAAGTGGATCTCGTGCATGGCGGCGCCAGCAAAGCATAGCAAAGCAAGGAGTGTTTGGTCGAAATTCATGGATTCATGGGATCTTCTATTCTTGTGGGTTGTCCTTTTCAAACACATGCATAGATCCATCATATATAGATCCCTGATCCCCGTCCTTTTCCTCACCACCGGACCAATCACGCGTCGGACCCGCGTCGACTGAGTCTTCGCACAACACGTCGACGTCCTGTCCGCCCTCCTCCTGATCGGGGCGACACGCGGTCACGCTCAGCGACACGGGAACCGACAGGACTGACATTTTGCAGCACGACTCTGAAGTAGATACACAAAGTTGGTGGAGTATATACAGATGTACTGATAGACTGACATGGGGAGCACTCGTGAGCTTACTTTGATGATTTAGGCAGCTTTCAGAGAACTAGTCCCAAATATGGCTAATTAGGCCATTCATGGCCGGTGCTGTCACTCTCAAGAGAAAGCGACAAATGCGCACCTCACCTGCCACGAGTAGCGAGACATCTGACGCCCCTCGGGATGACCCGAGGTCTTAGACCGACCGGTGCGCCTGTCATTGGTTGATTCTTTGAAACCACATCCATCATGGTCTCCAGTGACCATTTGTGTTTGAGCCATCTTCTGGCAACAACGTATACCCCTCGGATCCGGAATTGCTTTGAAACGTAGCTTCGTTGCTTCGTTGGCTTTCATTTCGTCCGTCTCGGTGTCCTTCTCTTGGATCAAAGGGGGGAGGGGTTGCACCAAAAATGTGAGGATGAACGAAACCAAAGCGACAGCGCTTACCCCACTCAACACCCCGACAGCGCTTCTTCCACGCGAAAGCCCCTTTTCGGGCTCGTGACGGGGTGACCCTGCGTGCTTCCAGAAATTGAAAGAACACCTCAAAGAAAGATAGGTGGTTCTTAGATGGAGCACAGTCTCCAGTGAATCTTTAAGAAATTCACGACACGCAAACACCAGAGACCTGGGACGTTTTCCCATTCCAATGGATCCTCAAAGGGATCACCCGGATCACCCGGTCTCTCCCCGTCCGACGTTGTCGAACCCCCGGTCCGCGGCGTCCTTCGGAGCCGGCACCGTCCGCTTGGCCCGGCGGATGGCCTGCGAGTGGGGAGTCGCCACGGCGGATGGCGTCCAATCGGGGGGAGTGGTGGGTCTGGTGGATATGGAGGGTTTCCCACCCCCAAATAAAAGGAACCAGAAACAAACACCCCAGGCGTGGTTGCGGTGGTTGTGGTGGTTGTGGTGGTGGGGGGTGGACAAAACCCCTCTCCGTCGATCTGCGGCCCGAAGGTCGCCTTCCTTTCCAACTCTAGGACGGTGCACCGAAACCATTTTCGGGCGTGGTCGGTCCAGGGAGAGGGTTTCGACATTCGAAACCTTCAGGTGGTCCAATTCCTAGTATCTGTCTTTCGGAACTTCATCTTGAAAGTACACAATATAGTTACAATGCTTAGATGCTCTCAAGAGTTTGTCATAGCTAAACAGCTGGACCTCTCAATGGAGGCCATTTGTGTAGTTGAATCACCCAAGCTGACAACGCTCATGTCAAGACTAGCTTGGGGACTCTAAGATCAGTTCTTTGTTCTAACCCCATTGCAAGGTTGGATTGATTGGTGGCTATGGGCAAGCTCAGACCCCACCGGGGCTTCACAAAACGATGGACTCCTCCAACAGCTGGGACGTTCCATGCACTTCTGTTCGATGCTCGGAAAGCTTCAGCAGAGCGCCAGACCACCAGCGCTTCTGTTTGGGTCGGCGACCCAAAATTCTCGTTGTGGCACCGCGACCACCTTCCACTCCACCTGGACTCCCCCTCTCTCACCCAGCCTCCAGGACCTCGAAACCCACCACCAGAGCGCCCTCCTGTGGAGCTTTGGGGTGGAGCTGCGGGGTGGCGGATGCATCGGTCCCCCCTTCTCCTATATAGCAAGAGTCAGCCAATGTGTTTCTGCTAGAACAGGGCGTGTTTTCTTTGTTTTCAGCGCTTCTCCCCCGCTGAGACAGAGCTCTGATATTTCGCCAGTACAGCAAACGAACGACTTCGCCGAGGAGGCTTTCCGATGAGCACAGTATATTCTCAAAAAGCTTGGCAATCGTGGACCCCAGGTTTGGGCAGTGGAAAACCACTGCCAGGGCTTCAAAACTCCTTGGAAAAGCCTGAAAAGCCGGAAAAGCCCTCGGACATCAACTGCCATCAAATCACCTGCCAGCTTCCACATCATTCGCGCCACTCACCCCCAACAAAACCCTCACCCCCCTACTACCCCCTACTACCCCCCTCAACCCCACCCGGGCCGCTCTTCGTGCTTCATGGCCTTCCTTCTTCATGACCTCCGTGCTCCACTCGGAGAACAACGCCGTCCCCGCTCGGAGAACCACGTCTCCCCCGCTGTGCCCCGGCCTTGTCGATCTGATCACGGATGAAGCAAATCGGCTTGGTGCCTCGGAAACCGGACGCGCCGGGACGCGGAAGCCGGGGATCGTCCGGTTCGGCGGGCCTATAGGATGTGGGGACGGTTGGACGGTTGGCCTCCAGGTTTGGTGATTGCACATAGGACCTGGTCAATTTGGGAGAGAAAAGGAAACTGCCAATGTCCCTCCGTCATCCACCTTCCATCTTTAGGATTAGTAGATAGCAGATAGTCTACATGAATCAAAAAGTCCAGCGGAGATGCTTTCAAAAGCCATGTGCCAAGGCAAGTGAGTACCGTAAAATCCTGGTGCCCTTGATGCCACGGTCGATCATTCACACATGGCACAGCTTCAGCCAAGTCCATCAACATCCCTCTGCGCTCCAAAATCAGGTGGACAAGTCCTCTAAAGATGAAGCATGCAAACAGGGACGTTGTGCTTTTGGGATCCCAAATGGGATCCTTATGTCTTCTCCTGCCGGGTCGACCCCCAAACCGAGTAGACGGGTCGATTTCCCGAACCTTCCAGCAAATCGGTCTGCCGTCTCCGGGAAAACACGTTCCATCCTGTGTGGGCGTTCACCCCCTGTCCTGATTGAAGCTTGGGAAACTTAAGAAGGAATTGCCCTGTCCATGACCCACCTCCATAGTAGTACCTTTCGTGTCACTGTACCCAGAATGGTGTGCATATCAAACTAACAGGCCTGTCAAATCATGTGGTAGAAAGTAAGAGTACCACATGAGCTGGAGCTGCCGACTGAACAGAACGTGGAAAAGCGCGTAACAATACATAACACAGAGAATCAACAACAGCAACATCTTCAATGTGACGGTCTGAGCCCTGAGGCATACTGGCTCTCCCTGAGCGTTGAAGGTATGCTCCACTTGCGCAAAGGCCGCGCCTGCCGTCCCGTGCGTTTGACGTTGATGTCTGAATCATCCGCTCTATGTACACCGTGTTGTCACGTAAACGAGGTGGAGAGAGGAATTTGATTGCACCTGGTGACGCTTACCGAGAGATTGGGTTGGCCGGCTCACCCAAAAGGTTTCTGTGTCATTCTCTGTCCTCTTGTCTGTTCGCCCTCAAATGCTATCGGTGTACATACTTCGTTGGATGCCCCAGAACTCGTCTCACCTACGACAGACCGAAAAACAAGGGATCCAAGTTCAAAAGAAACACCAAGAAAACTCTGTTCTCAGTCCCATGCCTTAGGACCTTAGGACCTTAGGACCCCGGACCGGACTCTGTTCCGGTCTCACCAGCTGTCCGCGTATGCCCCTGATCACGTGTGGCCAAAATGGCCAAATCACCAAGAAGACAAGTGGTCAAATGCGGCACCATTGGGTGAGAAAAAGATGTCAGTCTTTGAGTTGCCTCCAAACAAATTTATATGGAAAAGTCCAAAAGGATCATAAAGGATGCAGGAGGTGCCCCTTCTGGAAGAAAGCAATGATGCTGCACAGCAACGTTGATTGAAATGGGTGGAAGAATCGCGTGCCTAAAATGAGTCTTGCCAAAACTCAGTTCAGTTTGACACGCTGAAAGATGTTGGAATGCTTTACGGTGAAAAGAAAAGAAAGTGAAAATCATCCGAACAAGTCCGGCTTCTACCATCCGGGCGCAAGAGTCAAGATGCCTCCCGTTTGAATATAAAGCAAAACAGAGCTCTTGTTGATTTTGAACCCCAAAGGCCAAAAAAACAACTTGCCGCTGATTTACTTCCGGTGGCTCTGCTACGCCCACCCCACTATATAAAGGACAACAAAGCATGGGAAAATCGACCCATGGTGTCGTCAGCTCATCCCAGTCGTGTGTTCGGCCTACATAGAGTCTGCAGACCAGGAAAAGTCCAGGGTCTGCTTTCAACGAGAGCACCTCAGAGTCCCAGAAATTGGAATCCCTCCAGGCACCAAACCCGAACCCGCGCATGGAATCCGTGCTGTAGATGACGTGTTCCACTCAAAAGCTTGAGAAAAGCAAACACGGCGAGCTTTGAGGCTTAGGTGGCATTACCTTTGAGAAATACCTACCTATTAAATACCGTAAGTAGCATTTGCTATATTTCTAGATTCGACAGTATGGATATATTTGAGGCACCGGCTCCCGGGTCAGATTTTTGGTCTGCATGTGCATCACTGAAAACACGTCCCAGGACTAACACGAAAGATGCAAGGGTCATGAATCATAAAGCCTTCTTTGCAACGATGCAGACCCTCCACAGTCTTGTTCTTCAAAACAATAGGTTGGCATCCCAAACCGAAACAGCGAAGCATCTAGAGTTACTTACTTGCTTCAAGTCATAATAAACATGTCTTTCCATTTAAAGAATAAAACTGAAATCACCATGGCCGGCTCTTTTCGCTTTCAGCCGACACCTCTGTCTCCCGCTCGCAGCCGACACACTCCGCCCCACCCCCGAACTCGAAAACAGTTCTCTCCGCTGCTTGGTGCCGAGGGACGCAGTCGCCTCGTGGTGCCTTGGTGCTCGGGGTGTGTGAAATCCTCGTTCTTTCCAGGCAGCAGGAAGGCCAAGTGGAGCAACTCTGAGCACTGGAGTATTCCAAGATGTGTCTTCGAATACCACATGAAGATCAAAAAACGAAAAAATAGAAAAGAAAAAAACAAGCTTGGACGGCACATTGACCACACCCTCCCATCCAATCCACCGAGTGGCCAAGGATTCTTGGTCTTGTTCTCGCTGAACCTCTGAGGGTCTCAGAAACTGTAGCTCCAACTGCAGCTCGTGAGCACCCGCCGCCTCACCCAACCACCGGACCAAGGCAGTGCTGATAGCCCTCGACCCGGTGCGTCATAGCCCTCTGATCCGAGTCCGTGATCCCAGAGGCAGAAGCCACAGGGGGTCCATGTCACAAAACAAACATAGAAGAATAGTAACATATGAAGAAAAATGGTTTACTATATAACAAAAATGGTAATAACAATAAAAGTTTACTATTTAAAAAAAAAAAAAAAACATAGTAAATCTATGTCATGATGTTCTTAGATTGTGTTGTTGTCAGTGGGCTCAACCGGGGCAGTGACGGAAAAGCCACAGACTTGCTCGTTAAACTGAACCCCAAACCACAAGTCTGTACATGAGTGCGCACATTAGAAGACTGGGAAGAGCCCAAGTAGACTGACTTCAAAGCCCATTGGAATGATAGGACCATCTTAAGACCTCCAACGACCACGCAGGTGTTTCCACCAGCCACATCTTTCACTTTGCCCTGGCCCGCCCAGACCGGTCTCGTCCAGTATGTCAAAACGCCTCGAAGATCGGAGACGTCCAGGAGGGTGGCCTGGGCGGTTGGATGACTTGTCCAAGTGGACTTGAAGTCCAGTGGACTGAGAATTGTTCCTGAATGAATAAATCGAAGGAATCGAACGATCTTCAGGAAAACTCCTCTTCTCCATCCAGAAATGCCTTGGACTTCGTGAAATCTCTTTTGTGGACCACTCTAAGTCAGTCTAGTCTTTCCATGACGGTTCATGACCGTTGCGGTTCGAAATCATCAGGACCCAAGGTCGGTCTCGCCTAACGTGAAACTCCCCGTGCCTCTGAAAAGCCAGAAAACCAAATCCTTGCTTTCTCCCTCTTGCTCTTCAAGTCAAAAACCAAATCAGGTGATTGACCAGTCACGGTGGCGAAACTACCCTTCCGGGCCAAGCAGCTCACTTTGCGGCGCATCCGGGGCGCGTGTTCTCAACGCCAACTCTGCCAGGCGCGCCGCAGCGTCCTGGGCCACGCGGGAAGCGACATTGGGGGCGACATGCGTGTCTTCGAAAGTGTTCCTCGTGGGAGCTCAAGACCATGGAAGATGGCGGTTTTGGTTGTGATGTGTGTTTGAACCAGAAAGCTGTCAGATTGACATGAGGAATAGTGATCAAATGGAAGCAGTCGAAGAATGAAGAAAACAGGCTGACCATAGGCATACACACAGATGGGCACACAATCACATTGCAATCAGTTCGGCTCGTGCAACTGGCAACCGTTTGCCTACCATCAAAGGATATTATGACCGCAAAACATCTATCAGTAACAAAAAAGACTAAACCATACTAAACCAGTGATTCCCTGATGTTTTGATTCTATCTGTTTTTGGGCCACTTTGATTCTACCAACTAGATCAACAAGCTTTGGTGTTTCCAGGTTTTGGGGGAAATCCATCATCCTAAGAATCCGGAACTCAAATGGAAAGGGTGGCACGAGTCCAAACGACGATGAAAATGTGGATCAAAAGAACAAGCAGTCCGAGTCCTTCTATTCCAGCAATCAATACAAACGATTCTTCAGAAATTTAAGAAACATGAACCATGGGTTGACAGGAGTCAACCTGTTAAGCGTTTGCAACATCCGGTTTGGTGATCTTGGAGTCCTTGATGTGCCAATCCACGCGTCGAGTGGGAATATTCTCCACCTGCAACCAGGAACGAGATCGGAGATCCCGAAGACCCCTCCTGCTGAAAGCGTGTCTGCTGGAAATCATGTCCATCTGCTCGGAGAGGAATTCTGGGGATCAATATGTTTTGGCACACTACAAGAACACACACCAAAAAAGACAAAAAGACTCCAACCCATACATCACATGGAAGGCCTATCAAGACATCAAAAGCATTCAAAAGCCATCAACAGCCCAACATGGCCAACCCAACCTAACCAACGGCCGTGCCCTTCACCCTTCGCCTCCATTCTGTTTGTAAAGAAAATAACGGCGTGCGCTTACATACTCCCCTCTCCAGCGAAAAATACGTCGTTTTCAGGAGCATTTGCGGTCTCCACTGCAGTGGACTGACGAATGACTCAATGACCTCCTGACGCGGATGGACGACGTCGACTGGACCTCTGCGATGATGTTGGTGAGGTAGTTGGTGCGTACCTCAGGCAACCCGAGACCCAGCGCGACGGTCGGCCGGGAACCGACGGACCGAGGGGAACGGGAGCCGAAGCGGAGGGACGGTCCTCACCAGGTGGAAATCTCCCCAGCCCAGTTGAATTCAGTTATGAAGACCCCGAGTTCTCTTTCCCGAAGCTTGGGTCAAGCTTGGGTGAACAAAGGTCCGCTAAGGCTTGGGTGGGAATTTGGGGTGCGAGGTCATCAAAGGGACAGACGAGCTGGAGATGTCACCCTTTACTTTACGCGGAGAAGATCTGCAAACAGAAACTCAACCAAAAGATTCACAGAGAATGGACTGGTCTGTTCTTGTTGCCATAAAATATGGGTCGAAAGCTGCAGTAGGTTCAGAATGAATGGCACCAACCTGACCAATTCTTATGGAATCCGAATCTCAAATAGATACATACAAATACTGTATGAGTTTGCACCGTGTCCGATGCATCATGCGATGAACTTTCTTGGAAGGGGCATTCACAGTAATGATATGTAATGATCCACATGAACAATCCCTGTTCAAGCTTCATCCCTGAGCTTCTCTTCTCAAGATACCTCTCAAGATACCTTTGAATTGAACCTTTTTCATGTCCAAATCAAGTCGTTGACGCGGAAAAGGCCCTGCAACCTATCTCCCGAATGCTTGGAAATATGAGCACTTGCTCTCATCGGAAGTGTGAGTCGTTCCAAAAGAATTATGAAAGGGGGAAGTACAACTTTAACATTCTTAAACCAACTTGGCATCCTTACATAGTATTCCTTGTCAGCTCTTGACACATTCTTCCTTGACCTCCACAGAGATTGATCTGTAAGAACGGCTGGAACCCCAAGGACCTTCTAAGCGCCCTGACATCGAGTTCATCAAGCCTTGTGCCGTGGTCGCTGCCTCAGTCATCGTGTGGAAGCGCCGTGTGATCCGGAGGACGAGTCTTCCCCTCCGAGAAAAAGGACACAAGCCTGCGTTTAGGGCGGTCTACAAATCTGGGATAGACTATTCCTTAGCCGGAAGACTATTCCTCTGCAAACATCCCCAAGTGTGTAGTTGGAAAGCAAATCGTTTATCTGAAGCAATGAACTTGTTTCACTTCGTAAGCCACTGAAGTCTATGCCAGCGCCATGATGCTTCCAGGGTTTCTAACGAGGCGACTTTCATCGGCCCCTTCGAGGGTTCATGTGCGGCTATCACCCCCTCAGCCATGCCGGACGAGACGGTGAAATTGAGTGAAGAACCCCCGCTGGAAGTCTTCATTGCTATTGCTGAACACGCGCGATCTTCAAGAACAAAGCTTCTTCAAAGGCCGTAGAAACTCATCCAACAGTGACTTCTGCGTCCCCAAACGGCCTCACCCGCATTCGGACCAATGCAGACTCCAAACGGCCTCGTTGACGTCCAGATCTGTTGGAGTTCTGGAGGTGACGAACTGGTGAGAGCCGTTTTGCGGCACCTGTTTTGCGGGAAGATGTTTAAAAGTGAGTCAGTTTAAACACCTCCAAAGACCGTGCAAAGCACCGTATCAAGCGCTAACGGCGGCACTGTATCCAGTTCAGCTCCGCACGGCACGGTTTCCGCTTCTCCGCTCCTCCACTCCTCCACTCCAACGGAGCGGGGCCCCGCACGGAGCCGGCTCTCTCGGTCGGAGAACTCCATGGAGGTGTGGCCCACCAAGTCCTGAGGGGTACCGGTGGCATCCGTCGGTCGCCAGTGGCCGGACATCCCAGCGACGCAAATACTCAAACATATATCATATACCAGAAAGCCATGCAAGGTTGGAGGCCATCGGAGGCCATCGCTATTATTAGGATGGAGGCAATTGCTATTGAGGTCACCCACAGAGTACCCTACTAGACTGGTGGTTCCAGGAAGAAGGCCCCAGAAGGGTCTGGATCAACTCCCTTTCACCCGAAGATAAGCGCAGCGGTTCGGGTGAAAGAAGAAAACACCATTGTGAGGAAAGCTGATGCAGAATCCTGCCAAAAAAAACGAGAATGTGTTTTGTAAGTTTCTCTTTTCTATATATATATATATGTGTGTGTTCTTGATCGTCTGTGCGATTGGATGTGCCACCAGTCCTTTGGTGGGAAAATAGATGAAAATAGACCCACTGGTTGAACACCCAAAAACTCCATGCTGATGAGTTTGGTTGTGGGTCTAAAACTAAAAACCCAACATGCCTCTTTCGGCGGTTAGTATCCGCAACAGGATGCACTCGGAGGGTTTTTTTTCGGGTGTCCTCTTCGCCACGCATGGACGCTTGGGATGCCATGACCCCCCCATCGTCGCATCCTCCCAGCGCCCCGATCTCCTCCAAGGCCGCATGATTCCGCGAGACCTGCCGCGAGACCGAGACCGATCCAATATATTTGATATATCTGGCAGCGTGGGCCGTGGGTTGTGGGGGGGAAAGGTGTTCGGTGTTCAAACCCACCAACGGTCCAACCGGCCGGGTCAGGCGCGCTTGAGGCAACCGGAGGCAACTGGAGGGTTCCACCGGCCAGCCGGGCGTGCCGGAGGACCTCACCCATCAGTATCAGCTTCAGCTTCTGGGCCGTCCCTCGAAACACATCGACCCTTTTGGGCCAAACCTCCAAACCCATAAACCTCCAAGAAAAAGCACTTGGGAAGGCAAATGGGTGAAGCATGGTGGAGCGAATGCCTGGAATCGATCCTTGATCCTTGATCGCATCCTTTGGGTCATGGCTTCCTCACCGCCCACACACCGAAACCCATGACGCACGGACCCCTCGTCGTTCGACCCGTCAACGTTCGCCCGTTCGGTCCTGATCGGTCAGATTCGACACGCTCTCTTGCAAGTCCGCCGCGAAGGACTCCGCCTGGCCCGCACGTGGTGCGCAGGACCTCCCGTGCGCACGTTGGTCCGCGCGGGTTTGGCCAATGAGCTGACTGACAGCACTGGTGGTGAGCCGATCCGTGGACCGATGGTTCACACTGAATCAATGGGCATACGCGGACGGAAGGAACATGGTATAAAAGCCGGTTTGGACATACATATGATGGGCATAAGCCATGAGTCAAATCCAAACGATGGTATCTTGACATCGCCCTTCGTCCATGTTGTTCATTCAATCACCCCGGACACCATGATCCACAGCCATAGTGCCATAGTGCACCACATTGATTGCTACCGGCAAATTCAGCTCGTCCCGGACACCGACCAAACCCGGCGCTGTCCGCGCCGCATCCACGCGTTTTTTTTTGCATCCACGCATGTTTTTGTGGAGCCACGGACATGCCGCTTTTAGGGGGCGGTGGGTCGGCCCTTGAGGCTCACGAGCCACCGAAATAGAGGACGTAAGCACTGAGGATTCCTGGATCAGAGCCTGGATCTGTTGCCTGTTTCATTGTTTCAGATCACTCTGTCCCACAGAGCCTGTCTTAGGAAGCTGTCCACAGGTGTATATGTTCCAATGTGTTACACCATGTTACACCAAAAGCTGCTGCAAAAACAAGAGCTTCAAGGGATCAGCTGAAATGAAGCCTCAGAGATGCGAAGGGTCTTTCTTTGTCAAAGAACGCTTTCAGAAAATTCATGTGTGCTTCATATGTGTGGGACCTTTCAGCTGACGAGTGCTGTTGCTTACTTCTTCCGCACCGTGTGCGGACCCTTGGCTCGAACCCAGTCACCCTCGCATCGACGCGGGTGGGGAATCCGAAGGACCAAATAAGCCGAACGCTTGTTCACTTCTCCCAAATGGTATTTGATGTTGCTTCCTCTGGAGAAGAATGAGGAAACTTCTCAGCCTTCAATCCTTTTTCTGGTCGTTTGGATGGTTAAACCATGTTAAACCCGTCCGAGAGGCACAATTGCTTTTTTGCTCAGCTTCAGAGACCCCTCGACCGCACAGAGCTGCATTCCGCAGCTTCAGCCGCAACGCACAGTCTTCCTCACTCAGGTTTGCTGGCAAACTTGACCTCGGAAGCTGGTGGGGTCGTATGGCTCCGAAAACGGCAGCGCAAAAACCACTATGCAGAACACTGTGGAATCTCCCGCTGTGGGCATGGGGAAAGGCGAGTTTGGATTCGATTGAGGAAGCTGCAAGAAGGACAACAAAGATCCGGTGTTGATTCCGCCCTTCAAACAGCGTGGATCTATACTTCCCCCTGCACCAAGTGCTTTCAAGGATTCAAAATGGCATCCTAGACGCCAGATGAGCCACTCTCCCCACATCAAAACGACCAGAACAGTGGCCCCAAGAGCCACGAAGTCTCTCCCGCAGTCTCTCAGCCACGGAACGACCTCCTTGAAGAACAGAACGCCCTCCGCCTGCAACTTCTCGAGGACCTTGTCCGAGTCATCCATATCCAACACCTACGAGTTGGTCTCATTTGGGCGGACGATGACAAGCAGCCGACTCCGTCACCCATGGTTTCATGGGTGAAAGAAAGACAGGTAGCATATTGTAGCGTGCAACAGGTTGATTGTGACAGAGCTGCCACCGTGCCGAACAAGTGTCACTGCGAAAATTCATCATTGAAATAACGCTGCAGGTCGGGATTGGTCTTTCCGAGAAGAATTGCTTGGGAAGGCACAAAATCCATCGGAAACACTGTAGCATGTTCAGTTTGGGTTCCATATTCTGCACCCAAAACCACACCAATCCCCTCTCCACCAAAACAGATCGGTGTCAGGTGCAGGAGCCTCTTCGGGGAAAAGAATGTGTGGAGGATCGTGGAGGTGTCTCAGGAAATCAATGACCTGACAAGGACCTATATTTAAGCATGCCGGCATAGACCCCAGATAGCACTTCAAGAAGAGTTGGACACCATGGCAAGAGCGGGAGACAAGCTTGGGAGACATCCCACTCAAAGCCGGGAAAAGGATGGAAAAGGTAAACAAGACCTAAATCATCTTATAACAGCATCCGCGTCAAAGGCAGGCAAGAAAATGACAAGGCGGCAGCGGCAGCCAAGAGCGAAATCAGGAACAGAGACAAGCTTGGGAAACACGGCGGCAGCGGCAGCCAAGAGCAAGTTATTGAGACAAGGCGGCAGCGGCGGCCAAGAGCGAAATCAGAAAGGGAGACTAGCTTGGGAGACAAGCTGGCAGCGGCAGCCAAGAGCGAAATCATGAAGGGAGACAAGCTTGGGAAGCAAGGCGGCAGCGGCAGCCAAAAGCGAAGTCATGAAGGGAAACAAGCTGGAGAAACAAGATGGCGGCAGCCAAGAGCGAAGTCATGAAGGGAGACAAGCTTGGGAAACAAGCCGGCAGCGGCAGCCAAAAGCGAAGTCATGAAGGGAGACAAGCTGGAGAAACAAGATGGCAGCGGCAGCCAAGAGCGAAGTCATGAAGGGAGACAAGCTTGGGAGACAAGCCGGCAGCGGCAGCCAAAAGCGAAATCATGAAGGGAGACAAGCTTGGGAAACAAGGCGGCAGTGGCAGCCAATTTCCGCAATCCGGAACCCATCCATTGAGAAGTAAGAACCCCTATAGCTTCCAGCTATCTGGGGAAAAGAAAATGCACATCCCACACCCTGCCCCGGAAAAAAAGAGAGCAACAAAAACAACATGTCCAAATTCTAACACGTCCGGCACAACTCCTCGAACATGCTGACCTTCGTCCCCTCAGCGACCTGCCCGTGCTTCCAAAAGCTTCTCTTTCGCCTTCTTCCCCGCGCCTCCAAACGGTCCGAGTTGTCCATTAGGACCTTGCCCGGCTTTCCTCGGCACGAGAGTCGTGGGTGCCAGTCACGGCTCGCGTGGGGAGCAACCCACCGTGACGTGGGTCGATGGAGAACATCGGTGTGATGAAGCACACCAGCAAAGCCCACGTCGTTAGTGCCAGTCACTAGTCGTGCATTGAGGCAAATTGCTGCACCGCTCGCAAGGCTGATAGATTCCTTGCTGCCCCAACTACTATCACTATCACCACTCCTGATGCTCTTCCTACGTTCGCATTGCCGGTCTGAATTCTCCAGCTTCCACTGCGTTGGCATCCCGATCCCTGAGTCTGTAAGATTTCCTCATCAAGTATACCCTACAAGTCCAAAGACCCAGTAAAACCTGGTCTTTTACCTCCTTAAGTATTGGTTTTGTATGACCAGCTCCAGCAAAATGAGGTCTTTGACCTGTAGGGATATATATAATTGCTACACTATTCTTTCTCACACATGCAATGCTGTTACACATGAAGACTTGATGTCTTGCTCCGCCAAACTTGGCATAGGCCTTGAAACCCATGTAATGCTGACGCCACTCTTCGAACTGTACGTTATTGAAGAAATGTCAACAGCTTATGATATCAATCAAAAAAGAGCCTCTACCTGCTTTTGGCTTTGTTGTTTGGGGCAAACACTTCAAAGTCTTCAAAAATTCAAAAACATCTTTGGGTACAACACATGGATGCTCCAACCAGAAAACCTAGGACCCTGAAAGAATCACAAGCGGCTATATAGGTGCACCTGATTCCCTTGCCATGATGAACATTATGGTCCATTATGGTCTTCAACAAAAACATCATCGTGCTCCACCAGCTATTCTTTGATGTCCTTTGTCAGGGTCGGGTGACGAAGCCACCTCACGACTTCCTACTGTTTTGAACCCAGATGACCCCAGCAGTTCAAGGAAACACTGCCCAGGCTCTTCAAGGTCTGGTGACCAGACGCCAACTCCCGAACCCTTCTCCCGCCGTCTCCCGCCCTTTGTTTAATTTGGCAGGGGGGTCCGGCCAGGTCACTCTCTTGAGCGATCGATGAAAGTGGGAACAACGCCTGACTTCAATTAAATCATTCAACGGCTCTAACATACCTGCGGTGTATGCCGTCACAGCGGTCATCTTCATTGCGGCAAACGTTGCAGCCAAGGCGCCCACCTTCTTCACCCCAAGCTTCTCCAGAAATGCGTCCATCGTTTTCCTCGGGATGGAAACGAACAACTGGTCTGAATCTTCCAAGGAACCGGGTCTTGGAACCTTCCATGGCAGCACCCGCTCCGTTGGATTTCTTAAAACATTGAAACCTCGAAAATCCAAGAAAATATCCATGTCACCCAACAAGCCCAACAATACAGCCAAAAAGCCAGATCAACAGCTCAGTACCACCAGCGTTCCCCCTGTCAGGTCACCACAGAGACAAAACAACCATTGACCTGTTCACAACCTCGGCCTTTCCACGTGGCAAAGCTGCACCCATCCATGCCAGGCGTCTCATCCCACAGGTAAACACAGTGCTTCAACAGCATCTCCTTGTCCTCTCAGTCGGCAGACTCCGTTCCATCCGTCCAGACGGAGAACACCGGAGCCACTCGGACTCCTGGACCATTGAATTTGGGGTGTCCAATTGAAGGGATTTTTGACTGGTGCAGCTTGAGGCGAACCGCAGTGAGTGGAGCCAGGCGAACCGCGGAGGATGGTGCTGTAGAGAAACCCTGGTCGGAGGGTCAAATCCATTCGGAATATTCGGATCCAAAGTAAACAACTACCGTCCCCTGTGCAAGGCCTACACCATGTGGGCATTGCCGGGATGTTGCAAAATATCACCCTCACAGAAAATGACGCCGAGAAATCCCTGAGAGGCTTGGAACAAGTGGATGAAATCCCAGGTCCAACGAGTCCAAGGAGTTCCTCAAAAACCGGAGCCAGACCAAGACTGCTGACTCCTGACCGGAGTTTTTGGACCTCTACACCCCTGATCCTTAGAGGAAAAAAATCTACTTAGATATTACTATAGGGGCCCTTCCAGTTCTGCTGGCCGCCTCTGCACAGTTCTTCTCCTCACCTCCCCAAACCCTCCCTCCCCTCCGGTGCACTTCAGCGGTCTCCTTCGCCCCACCGGTCGTCCCGCCCGTGCCGGTCGCCCGGCTTCCGCTTCGGGCGGCCTCCTTCTTCTCCACGGAGGTCGTGGGATCGAAGGGCACGTCAGCGTCCTTTTGCTCCCACATCCTCGAAGGATCGAAGGGCGGCCCAGAGTTCGGGGGTGCTTTCTGGAGCGAACGCAGCCGATTGGGAGCCGGTGTGGGAAGCATCACTTGGATGCTTCATGATGACTCTAGTGATCTAAAGAGGAAGAAAGGGGAAGGACCAGAAGTGTTCCTGTGATTCTTTGTGCTCACCATTTCTAGGACTCTCGAGGAGAGCCAGCACATTCGGCTTTGTCCTTCATTCACTTGTCTGTGATCCCCAAATAGATCAAAAAGCCTCCAAGCTTCACTGTAGTGGGGATGTCAAAAGATTCCCCTCCGTTTTTCCACTACCGGTTACTAGTGTTGGTCCACAGCACCTGAAACACCGATCGCTTGTCGATTGCCAGGATTCCAGGATCTATTGGGCCAGGGGGTGACAGGGTGGTTGGGACCCCCCACTCCCAACCTTCCGACAGACCCCGAAGCGCAAGTTCTTGAGGTTGGAGGCCATCGCTATTCGGTCGTAGTCCAATTGAAACGTCGCAACGAGATGAAACGACATGAAACGAGACGTTCCTGTCCCGGGTCGATCTCCGGGGTTCGGTGCTTTCTTCTCGCCGCCGGCGGAGAAAACGGTGCTTCTTGGAGCACACGGCGTTTAGAATCATCGTGAACGACTCAAGCACAAAGATCTTAAAAGAAAGAGAGAGAGAGAGAGAGACTCTGAGTGAGAGAGAGAGAGAGAGACAGGGGAGAGGTTTGAGTAGAGGAGCGTGGAGTGTGGAGTGTGGAGTGGAGCCATCTCCGCCGAGCAGCCAAGCGGTGGCGCAACTCTTCAAAGCGTTCCCAAACTTCTTGGCCTCCTCCTGCGTCACCAGGTGTGGGAGACCCAACATGAAGACTCAGAAAAAAGAAAAAACTGGGGACAAACATGAAGTTCAGTTCATGTCCTTGTCCTCCGTGCCTAAACAGACCAGCTCAGCTTCAATCCCATGACCGTGACCCACGTGCATTCCGCACGACGCTCCTCGTTGGCCCATTTCACCTCCTCACAAGCAGACCATGGTGAGAGGAATCGCGGGGACAGAAGATGGTTGAATCTTGGGTCTATCCCATTACCAGTAACAGTGGATGATGATGGTTAGTAAAGGCCTTTCTCAAAAAAACACATGTTACAGGATGTTACAGGTAGTAGGACAGACCCAAGTTGAATCATTCTGGCAATCTCCAGCACTCCAGATCAACTTCGATCAAACCCAGCCGGTAAACACTCACCGTAACCCGTATATATAGTGTGACCACGGGGTTTGGGGAAAAGCACTCCAGATCCAGAATGCGTAACCCGAAGCGAGACCAGGTGAGTGGAGAAAAAGACAAGAAAGCAGCCGTCCTCCATCACGAGGGTCGCGCCATTCATCTGCGGCATCTCCTTATGAGAAGAGCGTGACACGATTCCATGGCATCTCCATGACATGGGGTTTGTCCGCAATCGTTGTTGCGAGTGCGAGTCTTTGCCAGTCCATTTGGCCACCTTTTTATTTTTTTTTCCCAGCTGCCGGCACCATTTTGCGATCGTGTCATGAAGCCGAGGGCATCACGGTCGAAGCGATGAGACATCGACGCCATCTGCCACCCAATCCATACAGGCAGGAAAAATAAGGCCATCCATCAAACAAAATTGTGGATTCGATTCCCATCATCTTCTGAGTAACTTGGGATGCCAATGGCTTTTCCACCGGTCCAGGTATGTTGCTCATTCCCACCCCTCAACCCCCCCCGCGGCGACGCCTTCTTGCCCTCAAAGAGCTGGCCCAGCGCCTCCTTCGCAGTCTCCTGGCTTTTTTTTCCGCAAACCCACCAGACCGACCCGGACATGCCGAGAGACGCGAATTCTTCGGTGCAAGAAAGATGGGGGGAAACATATTAACACATATTAAAACCACAAATGAGTTTTGGCATCGCCTCTTCATGGTACACATTACAGTCCCTTCCCTTGAGATGGGGGGAAACTTAAAAATCTGAACCGTAGGTGGAAGAACTCCTGCCTCTCATGCACGATGTGAGAAGAAAAAGATTGGCGGGTGCTTTGGTGGGTGCTTTGGTGCTTTGGTTCTTTCGTCCGGATGTCATCCACCATGCAGTGGGATTCATGACGGTCACATTGCAACTGCTCTGCTCACCGTCGTTATCCATCTGATCGCCAGCACTGCTCCGTGCAGGATCCCGGAGGGGTCCCCAAAGCGGCCGACGCGACCGGACCGAGGTCCCGGCTCCTCATCCCACATGAACATCGCCCGCTTCATGTCCTCAGCGACCGAACGACTGGTGGCAAGTCTAACAGCCCTGTTCGCGGTCATGTGACTGGGTGATCGCCAAAGTAGTGGTAGGTTGACAAACAAGCATCATGTAGCCATTCTGCTGGTGATGTTTCCCTCGTCTTTGCAGATTAGTGTCAAACATCTGTTCTGCGACTGCCAAATTCGTGTTTCCTGCGTTTTAAACTGACCTCGAAGAATCCAAAACCTGATCCGCCTCCAGCTGGCTGCACACGAAAAAAGACCGATCGATCCACTTTTTTGTTTGGACGGCCCGTGTCCCAAAACCGGAAGAAGGCGGAGATCCAGCCCAAAAATGCCCAAAACACCACCATAGCCGTGCTTAGATGTTTCGGCCGTGTCCACCCAGCTGTTCGCATCTGTCCGTCCACCTTCCCACAGCCTCCCCACCATGAGTTTCCCTCGTTCCCACCTCTTTCTCCCAAGTCACGGTGGCCTCCTTGGAGTTGCCTCAGCACGCGACCGTCGTTCGTGGGGGTTTTCGTTCGCACGTTCGCAGCGGAGGGGGGGGCAAGATCCTGCGGTGATGCGTCGGTCGGATGGTGCTGCAGTGGGGGCAGCTTCGATGGTGCTCAGCGTAGCAACTCCAAAACCCGATCGACCAGGTGCACACGCGTTGTGTCTTTGAGCCCACACATGTCTTAAGTCATCCATCGTTCTCACCCAGCATCTTCGGGTAGGCCATGTTCCTTTTCAAGTACCAATCAAAACATGTACGTCTCCCTCACCATTGCCCTCTTCACTTTGCCAAAGAGAATCACAAATCATGCTCATCCCGAAATCATGCCATCCTCATCTCGTCATCTGCATTTAGGAAAAAACAAACACACCGATTCGCTGGTCCCACACGAGTTAATATGGTGCGACCCCGCGACATGCTCTGCTATGTCTTGACGTCACAAAAAAGACCTCCCGCGTGCGGCATGCTCGAGGTAAGAACGAACCTCCGAACATTCCCTCGCTCCGAACGTAAAGAAGGTCGTCCTTATTGGACCAGGTGGCCCAAGCTTTTGATGGGCGTCCACATCTTCCCGCTTGAAGCTGGAGGGCCCCCTCCAGCCTCCTTGGCAGCGACCACTTTCTTCAGGACCTCCAACATCTCCTCGGATTTGCGACGAAGTCGGAGGCATGGGGCCTTTTACAGCCGAAGTTCGACACCTTCTGGGTAAAACTCATTACTACATATACCCTACAAGTCAAAGACCTCATTTTACTGGAGCTGGTCATACAAAACTAATACTTAAGGAGGCAAAAGACCAGGTCTGGGTCTTAGGACTTGTAGGGTGTATATATATATATACATATTACTACTTCGTTCGTGGTTTCAAACATTTTGGGACAAGAACCGCCCCCAACCAAAGGACACCGTGTGCGGAGTGGGAAACCCAAAAGCATCACCATGGAAGTGGACAAACTGTTTGGTCGAAACGAGTCTGGAAGACTGGCCACATCCACGAACACTCGGCATTGGAGAGAAAGCCTGGATCCTCCAGCTTCTTTTTCTTTCAAGCCGCGGTCCAAGACCCAAAGCATTCGGTCGCTTTGTCCGTTGCTTGCCGCCGGGTCTCCGGAGGAATGTTCTTGGCCTTGGACGTGGCGTCGGATTGGTCTGGGTCGTTCAGCCCAAGAATTGGAGCCAGCTTGATCCCAACGACCTCTGATAGAACCAGTGGGTTTCTAAAAATCATCAAGCCCTGTGCGCCAAACCCATCTCTGGCCACTGCTCCTTGGATGGGACCCTTCCTTCCAAGAAAGTCCAACATCTCCTGACCATCTCCTGATCTGCCACCGGTTTTGCGGAAACCACCGCCGGCTTTGGTCGGAAACCACCAGGGTGGGCCACCCGGCGTGGCCAGTTCATTCGGAAACGACCAACGAGCCCCAAAACAAACCACCGAGTCGACGCACCCACCTTTGGGCTCCTGCCCCTTGGCACCTGTAAACCCTCCCTCAAATAGAAGCTGTAAACCCAAAACAGCCAGGAAGAAATGGAAAGAACCAGTTGTAAAAAAAAAAAAGAGGTAAAAAGGATTCAATGGATGGTCTTTCTTTGCAGAAACGGATGTACAGGAACATCCAGAAAGAACCATTTGTATCGGGCAGTTTTGGGTGATTTCACAGGAAGGTCTCTTCTGGAGTCGAGTCACCATCTCTTTGATCTCCTCCTCAGAGGGTTCCACGATCTTTCCCCCCGCCGGGGAAATTGGGATCGAGCCTCCCGCGCCCATGGCGTTCGTCGAGCGGAGCGAGCGCTGTCTGTCAGCGCGCAGACAGGCGGGAAGCTGAGCCCAAAAGCTGATGGCATGGAATGATGTAGGTTTCCAAGGGGAAGATGAAAAGAGATGCAGCGTAGGTCATAATTTCATGTCTTTTCCATCCCTCTGGGAATGATATAATATGAATTAGTATCACGCGCTTAGAATACCCCGCAAGTCTCTGAAAGATCCAAGTCTCTCACTGCCGGTCGTCCCACCCCTTCGGAGAACAGGTCCCATCCCTTTCGAAACCGAAAGGAACTTCCTTCACAGCTCCAAACTTCACCAGAAAAAAAACGACAACCTCCCCAAAACCCGCTTTTCGCGCCCCCACGCGTGGACACGTCCGGTTTGTCCGGCCCCACGTGGGACTACGCGCCAGCGAGCTGGGAGAGCTGTGGAGCACCGTCCTACACCGTCCGAGGGCGACCTGTGGAGACTCGGAACCACTTGGGTCCACTCCTTGCCCGCGGGCCGTTCCACTCCGCGGCGATGCCCGGTGCCCCCCCTTTTTCAGGCCGAGCCGTTCGGCTGTGCCGCCGTGCCATGGTGGGGTCAGGGGAGGTCTTTGGACTCCACCACAGTCAAAGACCGCGAGAGGTCAGAACTTCTAGCAGACCAAAGCCAAAGCGAAAAGCAAAGATTGTTTGAGATCCTATATATATATATATTATGTGGATGCTTTATGTTGCAATTTTGTAACATAAACACCTAAGCCCACTTCAGCTCCTTCTCCAGAGTCTGTTCCGCGAAAGAACAACCATGCCAAGCTGAACAAGAACTTTCGGTCTGTTCAAGTGCCCACCTAATGCCTCAAACATGCAACAACTACTAGAATCCACAACAACACGTGAAAACTGGAATGTTGACCTATACATTGTAAGCACCCACTGAGTTTATCCCGTTTGGCCCCTTCAAACCCACCATGGCACGTGAGGTTGTCGCAGAAACCCCATCGCCCGGGGTCGCCCGGTGGCCTGGCCGGGTTGACCGGACAACAGCGCGGCTTCGCCCCGCAGCATGCCTAGCTCTTCCTTCGGAAGCGCCAGGTGGTGCTGCACCTCACTGCGACCTCACACGGTGAATTCCGGGCTTCGGAGCGCCGGGCTTCGGCATCGCACCGTGTCGCACCCGTCGCAGCATGCAGACAAAGAAGACCTTGCTTTCATCTCCTCCTTTCAAGTAACTTGTTTGTATAAGGTCCCAAAAACAACTTCAGACATTCTTCATCTCCTCTTGGACCTTGTTCGGCTCCGTGAACCTACAAGTGGATCCCTCCTCAGGAGCCTCACCCGACCGGACCGAAGGAATTCTCAAGTTTGGGAAGGCGGCCATGAGAACTGTGAGATGCAGAACTTTGGGCCTGCCATCCTTGGCATTCTCGCACACCCATGGCCGATGAACTAGGCAAGTGGAGGGAGAAAACAAGAAACTGTTAGCTCTCTCTTTGTCGGCTTCGTTGGTTTGAACCCTCGGCCGTCTGCGAAGATCGTCCCCCCCCACAAAAAATGATTGTACTGTACCCGCACGTTGGTTCCGGAGCATGGCGCGGCTGGAAAGCATGAACCAAAAAAGCATTGGAAACTGCCAACCTTTTCGTAAACCACGCTGAAACCACGTCAGAGCCGCATCGATCAAGCCTCAGCGGTCCCACAACTTCAAAAAGGCCTCCCGCTCCCGGACCAGTTGCACCTGAAAACACACAGCGCAGGGGACAAATGGAACAAAAAACTACTAGACGACGAGTGGCCCGAAAGCATTTTTCGTCACGTAGGAAGTCAGAGTGCGAGTTATCCGGTAAGTGTGCAGTGAGAAGTGTGAAGTCGAGTGAGTTGAGGTAGTGTGTGGGCTTCTGTGCGTGTGTCTATGTCCGTGTGGAAATGAGTCTGCGTATGTGTGTGTTCGTGTAAGTTGAGGGAGTGTGTGGGTGTCTGTGTGTGATGCGGCCTCCCAAACCCCCCACCGGCGGCCAAGCGGTGACAGCCCAGCTCATCGTCGTGAGCATTTGGGCTGCTGGTAAGGGGACAATGGCAGCCAGCGTGCTGGCTTACCCACTTCAACTATGATGGTAGCCAGCGTGCTGGCTTTGCCATCTCAACAATGGCAGCCAGCGTGCTGGCTTACCCACTTCAACTATGATGGTAGCCAGCGTGCTGGCTCATACCCACTTCAACTATGATGGCAGCCAGCGTGCTGGCTTTGCCATCTGGACAATGGCAGCCAGCGTGCTGGCTTACCCACTTCAACTATGTAGTAGCCAGCGTGCTGGCTTTGCCATCTCAACAATGGCAGCCAGCGTGCTGCCTTACCCACTTCAACTATGATGGTAGCCAGTGTGCTGGCTCATACCCACTTCAACTATGATGGCAGCCAGCGTGCTGGCTTACCCACTTCAACTATGTAGCAGCCAGCGTGCTGGCTTACCCACTGCAACTATGATGGTAGCCAACGTGCTGGCTTTCCATCTGGACAATGGCAGCCAGCAAGCTGGCTTCCACTGCCTGTTATCAAAGGCACGTGTTACTTGTACTACCAAGTCGCCAGTTCTCATCTTCCAGCTCCCCAGCTACTCCGCGCACTACAGTTATATACTACACCGTCGCCAGTTCGCAGCCACTACCCACTCGCCAGTTCTCCTCTTCCCATTCCCCAGCTACTCTGCGTACTAAAGTTGTACTACCAAGTCGCCAGTTCTCATCTTCCCAGTCCCCAGCTACTCTGCGTACTAAAGTTGTACTACCAGGTCGCCAGTTCTCATCTTCCAGCTCCCCACCTACTCCGCATACTAAGGTTGTACTACAAACTCGCCAGTTCTCAGCTACTACCCACTCACCAGTTCTCATCTTCCCACTCCCCAGCTACTCTGCGTACTAAAGTTGTAGTACCAACTCGCCACTTCTCATCTTCCAGCTCCCCCGCTACTCCGCGCACTACTAAAGTTGTACTACAAAGTCGCCAGTTCTCAGCTACTACCCACTCACCAGTTCTCATCTTCCCACTCCCCGGCTACTCTGCATACTAAAGTTGTACTACCAAGTCGCCACTTCTCATCTTCCAGCTCCCCCCCGCTACTCCGCGCACTACACTCATGCTGCAAAGTCGCCACTTCGCAGCTACTGTCCACTCACCAGTTCTCATCTTCCCACTCCCCAGCTACTCTGCGTACTACATTTGTACTACCAAGTCGCCAGTTCTCATCTTCCAGCTCCCCAGCTACTCCTCGTACTAAAGTTGTACTACAAAGTCGCGAGTTCTCAGCTACTACCCACTCATCCGTTCTCATCTCCCCACTCCCCAGCTACTCTGCGTACTAAAGTTGTCTTACCAAGTCGCCACTTCTCATCTTCCAGCTCCACAGCTACTCCGCGTACTAAAGTTGTACTACGCAGTCGCCAGTTCTCAGCTTCCAGCTCCACAGATTGCTCCGCGTACTAAAGTTGTA